CCCGGTTATTTCATTTAGATATCCAATAATAAACCAGGGTTCGGATCTCGATATCCCATACCTAGTAAGGTGTTCCCAAACTTGTTCTCTTAATATTTGTGTCGGGTCACCGTAGACAAAGGTTAAGAAAACTGATTTCCCCATTGCTATGGCTTCCACATTAATCATTCTATTACTAGAATAGAGAACCTTAACCTGATACTCATTGTTATAATAAAGAGCTAATCCGCCACTCTTTCGGACTGAGTCAACCATAACTAATTATCTAAACCAAAATGGGATTGAAAATTTTACACAAATTCAAAATCTTGCTTTGTTTCAGACAAGAATAAAAATTATGGTCTATGTTTGTGTCATATTTCTCTAAGATAGCTTATCGTCCACTTACTCTCCATTCCACGGTAATTCAACTAATAATTTTCATTAAAAAAAAAATTATAAAAAAAGCTCCTCAGAGCTAATATCTTAAGAGGTAAAGAACTCCGAGATGTCCACATCCTTGGATCCACTGACCAGAATATATGTAGAACCCCCATTTCTCGAGTTTGTGTTTTCTGCTCAACCAATATGGGTAATATCATTTGGAAACCACCGCAAAGAAATTCCAATGAAAATAAACAAAGGATCAACGGGAGCCAACCACATTCCAATACAGTCCAAACAAATTCTAATGAGGATAATAACACCACTTTATGTATTGTATCCCTTGTTTCCATGTAATTATGTAAAGTATCTCTCAAATATGTATCCAAGGTCCACACTTTACTTCTGATGCAAGAAAGGCCCACGTGAACCAAAACCTCCAACACTATCCCTGGAACTAATATAGCCGATATCCTCCGTTGCTTTAAATAAACACGTCACATTAATCCTTCATTTGAAGAGATCAAGTATAGTGTTTGCTTCCAAAAAGAGAATGCCAATACGCTATGTTCGATCCATGGAAGCAAGGAATTAAACCATGGCCATCCAATTTCCATTATCCAAAACACACTCCAACAATAACATATCCTTACATTAAGATTATAACACGCAAAGAAAGCAGTTTTATTCCAATACCATGACTCATAAACATGGCAAACACAAATACGAAGGCCCACATTAAGCCACAGAAACTCAGAATCAAAAAAAAAACACAATGATGTTCATAGAGCGTATTAATAGAACCAAAAACAACTGAAAAGACCAAAACTCCCAAATCCAAACGCCAAACCCACAAGAAAAGTCACACTTCAAATCTTCGTAGGATGTAAAAACCATGGATATAGGCTAATGTTTTTAAAGAAGAAGGCTTAGGGTTTGAGGGACCCTTGTCCTCTTTCTTTCTTGTGATATCTCCCTGCTTCTTACCTATCTTTCATGTAGTCCTTTTACGTGGAGACATCACTGCTTGAGCTAGCATCTTCTTGGATATACCTGCAGCGAGCATGGACTGTGTGAAGAGCAGTCTACGGGTTCTTTTCTTTTTCCCCTCATTACCCTCTAATAGTTTCTGGTCCCATGTATCCACTGGTTGAGATTCACCCTCGTTGATGCCACATATATCCTCTTGTAAGGTTTCCAAATCCTCCATCTCGCCATCAGTCAGGTTTTGGAAGTCCTCATCACCACATATGAAACCCGCGGTGTCCTCAGCATTGATTCCCGAAGCATCAAGATCTATAACAGCATTTTCAAACTTGGTTTCCTCAGGAACAACTAATTCCTTAACTAAATATAAACCATTTTCCATTCTCCCCCTAGCTGAGATAGTACCTTGGCCATTTTCCGAATCCATAGTATTAGCAAATACCTCTACAAGTGTATTGGAGAGAGAATTTTGTTACTGGTGCTTCAGTGATGCGATGAGGGCCACTGATGAAAACTCCTCCTTTTTAGCACCTCTTTTCTCTCCTTCACTGTTTTGTATTTCACCTTCCTCCTTTGGCTCTTCACGGACAGTTCCCAATGGCCTTTGGTCTCTTCGAGAATCACGGGATGTACTACTCCTGACTTCCTGTGACCTCACCTCCTGCTGTTGATACCTTGGTTGCTCCCCGCGTGAACTCCTGTGCCTTGAGCTCCCTTCATCATATCGAGTACTATCACGGTTGGAATAAGGCCTCTTATTCCCTCTCTAAGGAACCTTAACCCATTTAGCCTCGTGTTCATCATGCATTTTTCCTTCTCCTTTTCCATGATATCCCCTGGTCTCTTTTGCATTATCTTGATGTATCGGTCCACCATTTAGAACCACTCCCTTGTAACTTCGGGTTCGATCTTCCTTCATGCTCATCACATTATCCTTGGATTCCTTCTTCTTCACATGAACTCTTAGTGCTTAGAGGAAAAATATCCTCATCATGGTAGAGACTGTAACATATCTTATAATACCCAAATAACTTCTCGTAGTTGAGGAAGACCGGTACCTCTTCTCCTTCATAGAACTCCCAACCTGTAAAATCGACTGTTGTTTTGATGCAGAGTTCTTTGAAGCCATCTATGATTGCACGTATCTTTCCATAATCCAAGTCCACGTTCGTAGTCTCTCCTATCGCGTCACCAATGCTCTGGAATGTCTGTGATGACCAGAACTCGATAGGAATTCTTACTACAGAGATCCAAAATGGAATCTCAGACGGGAAGCTTCTTGCCATTCTTGGTTGCCACCGTGCTAAAGCGAGCATCCAGTAGTCGAAGTGATACGTTGCATCTCCAAGACAGCCTCTAGATCCTCCTCCTTTTCAAAATGAAACTGGAACCTCCCCATTCTCAGATCAACACCTGTGACTCTTTCTTCCACTGTCCATATCTTCGGTAGCATCACCAGAAGGGATTTGATGAGTTGTTCCTCCGGATTCATACACCTCTCGATTAAGGTACGAGAGTAACTCTTGATCAATTCTGAGTTATCAAAATGTGGAACTGATATCTTCAAACGCTTACGGACTCCCTCGGCATTCTTTGTTTCTCCAGTCTTTCTGACAAGCTTTCCTTGTGTCATCGTAAACAAAGCCAATTCAATACGAGAAGATAGGTGTGAGAATCGTATGAGATTTTCTTTTGAACTGTAATATTAAGATTCGACACCCCTCCCCTTTTATACGGAAACCATATACTCAGTACCCCAGACCTCTGATCCCGTGCCATTAAAACCTAAAATTTCGACAATCTCAGATCACATATCCCATTGATAACACAAGATACGAACAATCCCAACCGGTATCCCATACAGCCACATAATCCCTCCGAATTTTTCTAAAAAAGGAAACCCCAAAAACCATAGTTTCCATTTTTTGTAATAAGGAAATCGACACTTAGCCTTTCGGATTTGTCGATCTGGTGAGGATGATATCGTTTTGATGATAACGAGTCTCATACCTTGACAATCTTATAATTGATTTGTCAGATACCCTGACCCCACTTTCGATTCCCTTACAAACACCAAACCAAAGATCCTAGTTCCAGAAGCCCCTTCTTGATTCCATATCTTCCCGATCTTGAAACTGAAATCCTCACGATTCCAGATCTCACCAAGAATGCCCAGATCCCAACCTTTCGATCCCATCCTCCTGATCCAAAAAAAAAAAACCTAAAAGGTAGAAGTCGCCATCATGGGCGGATCTACTTGACGTAAGAAGGGTGCAGCTGCCCCATTAAAATTTTCAAAATATTTAAAATACCACCATAATAAGAAGTAATGCTGACTACATTGGTTTGTTGCCCCCACTAACAGAAAGTCTTTGACCCCGTTAGTTTATGTTTAATCACCTTTTTGTTTTGTTTTGGGTCGTATTTAAAGTTAGTTAGTTTAATTCTAGCATAAATTATAAACTATTTTCGAATCTACTTCTCTTATACTGCATAATTTAGTTGTCATTATTTCTAGTATTTCAACGTATTTGTGAATCTATGATATATTCCACCATAGCTTATTTTTATTATTTAATCATTCTTATTTTAGTTACGTGCTGAATAACTAATTCGAAGAATTAATATTTACTTCTAAATATTTTTACTTTTAAAGATATTAAAAGAGTAAACCCATCTATTATAATGGAAATATCATTTTTAGTCAATATATATATATATGTTGTTAAACAATATTTGATATAAATAATTTTTTGTTTTTAATTTTTTATAGTGTAATTTTATACATAAATAGTTTAATGAAAATTATATTTAAAATAGTTTTTGCCACCATTATAAAAATATTCTAGATCCGCCACTGGTCGCCATCACCAGTGCCTTAGAAAAAAAAAAAGGAACATCATATTTTGGTGAAGTGAGATGAAAAAGTGAAATTTATATCTTTAGTTTTTAACTAAGAAAAATAAAAATATCTCTTAAATAAGAGACATAAGAACTTGTTTTTTAACTAAAAAAATATCATGCTCTAAAAACTCTAAATGGGTCTCATCCATTAATCATGTTCTTAATGTTTTATGTAAATCCTCTTAGAACACTAGTACACTCTTTACAGTGTCTTTATACTTCTTCAAAAAATAAACAATCTCTTTATAATATTAAGTAATGCAACCGTTCACGTTAAAAAAAAAAAAAAAAAAAAAAAAAAACAGAGACATCGAGCTACACAATACAGATGCGATCGAAGGTATACCTCACTCATGACCTCACACGTGACGATAGTAATTAATACCACCACAATATATAACAATAGATTTAACATAGATCAGAGTCATGTTTCCATTATGTCATATCTCTAACATCTTCCTTTGAATTAAATTTAGTTCTACTCTTTCACATCAAAACCCACATCGTTTAGCGAAACAAGGAACGTGAATACGATGGTGCATAAAATCTCTATTCTATCTCTACATTTACTATGGCTATTAGTATTAGTATTTTGTCTCCATCCTATCAACATCACAGCCGACGGTAATTTCCCCAACGGCATTTATACGTGGTGCGATCAAACTCCATACCCTGATCCATGCAATCACTACTTCCGACACCACAACGGTTTTCGCCTACCGACACATCTATCCGAGTTCCGAGTAATGCTGGTGGAAGCATCCATGGATCGGGCCATATCCGCTCTGGACAAGCTGAAGCTGTCTGGTCTGAACTGTACTGATTGCCGGAAACAAGCCATTTTGACGGACTGCATTGACCTATATGGAGACACTGTTTTGCAGCTAAATAGGACGCTGCAAGGCGTGTCTCCAAAAGCCGCCGCAGAACCGTGCACCGACATTGACGCTCAAACGTGGCTGAGCACTGCACTTACAAACACGGAGACTTGCCGAAGCGGCTCCTCCGATCTTAACGTCTCAGATTTCACCACACCGATCGTTTCAAACACCAAGATCTCCCACCTAATAAGCAACTGCTTAGCCGTCAACGGAGCCCTCTTGACCACCGGAAACAACGATACCACCACCTCTGATGATCCGAAGGTTTTCCCAACATGGGTTTCCCGTAAAGAGAGGAGACTTCTGAAATTGCAGTCGGCACGTACCGTCCCAGCGAACGTCGTGGTGGCCAAGGACGGATCAGGACATTTCAAGACTGTGCAAGCAGCTATTGACCTGGCTGCACGGAGAACGGTGACGTCAGGGAGGTTTGTGATATACGTGAAGAGAGGGATATATCAAGAAAACATAAACGTACGTCTCAATAATGATAACATAATGTTGGTCGGAGACGGGATGAGATACACCATTATCACCGGAGGTCGTAGTGTCAAAGGGGGCTACACAACTTACAGTTCTGCCACTGCCGGTAACTTACTGATTCCTTGTAATTTAGTTTACAGTTAATATGTACTAATTTGACTACAACCCTCAGAAATACCTTACATGCGTATATGAGTGTTAAATTGATACAATTCAATATAAGTAAAAAGTGGCAGTTATATTTGAAAATTTTGCAAAATAAAAGATTACAATAAAGAGAGCAATTAATGATCAGTTCTTCTTTAAAAGCTTCTGTATAAAAAGAATGTCAACTTATCAACGTTTTTCCCAAATGAGAACATGGATCCGGTTCAAGCAGTTGGACTGCAAACCAGACAGTTATCCCATTTGGTTTCTCATAGAAAACCAATGATCGATGAACCCATGTCAAATGAAACTTTTAAGAATTATCAACCCATTAGCAGGAAAATTGTTTTTCTTTAATTTTTATTATGTTAATTAATTTTTTAGAAGTTCATGTGAGACATTTTTTGTGGGTTAGACACACCATTTGACTACGCTAGTGCTATAAATCTAAGAAAAGAAGATACAACCGTTGGCGCTGTTTTCCTGAAATGAGTGATGAGTGAGTGTTACCATTTGAAATTTTATTTCATCCTTTTTTCTATTTCACTAAATTGCGTGTGATCCAGGTATCGAGGGGCTTCACTTCATAGCGAAAGGCATAACATTCCGGAACACAGCGGGTCCGGCTAAAGGCCAAGCTGTGGCACTCCGGTCATCTTCAGACCTCTCAATCTTTTACAGATGCGCAATGGAAGGATACCAAGACACGCTGATGGTCCATTCACAACGCCAATTTTACCGCGAGTGCTACATCTTTGGAACCATCGATTTCATCTTTGGAAATGCAGCCGTAGTTTTCCAAAACTGTATCATCCTCCCTCGTCGGCCACTACATGGTCAATCCAATGTCATAACCGCACAAGGTCGTGCTGATCCTTTTCAAAACACAGGCATCTCTATCCAAAACTCAATAATCCAACCAGCTGCCGATCTAAAACCTGTCGTTCGTAGCGTTAAGACGTACTTGGGCCGGCCTTGGATGAAATACTCGCGCACCGTGATTCTTAAGTCGTATTTGGATAGTTTTGTGAGTCCAGTTGGGTGGTCTCCGTGGATTAAAGGTTCAACGTATGCTCTCGACACATTGTTCTATGCGGAATATAAGAATATTGGACCAGCTTCGTCCACGAGGTGGCGTGTCCGTTGGAAAGGTTTTCATGTGCTAAATAAAGCTTCCGATGCTTCTGCTTTCACTGTTGGAAGATTCATCACAGGTACTGCATGGCTCCCACGAACCGGCATACCCTTCTCTTCTGGACTCTAAAGGGCCGTCATTTGGTTTTATTATGCTTAAATTACAATGATGTAAAGGTTAACAATTCTTGAATGTAATTTCATTGTACTAGTCCGCTTGCTACGAGAATGGATAGTTAGCTATATAAAGAAGAGTTTGTGTCCCTCCTATAAAGTCACGTCATCAAATAGGATTTTCTCGCTGTGACACGTGTCCTCCTTTGTTGATAAACCGCGTTTCAATCTATAGAACCCATGACGATTAGGTCACTGAAATCGCTCTTCCATCTTCTTCCTCCGAGTACGAAACGTTATCAGTTACCGAATTATCATCTTAGACCTTCCATTACTCTCTCACACAAGATAAATGTTCAACGTGATTTCTGGATCTGCAAGACTGTGGGGTTTCATCTATAAGAAGGTATGATTTCCTCCTTACAGAACCATCTTCTTATTCTTCTAACCAGTAAACTGATTTTGTGAGATATGGCTAACATTTCGGTCTTCATCTTTGATTTGCAGACTGGCCGCTCCTCCTCCACTGTTGAAGTCCGTTTGCTCTGTTTTTGTGAGGCTAGGAATGTCCGCCATGGTAGAGAGCTCATGGGAGTGGATATATTCCTACTGGATTCTTAGGTATCTTAATTACATCTGGTTTTTGTTTATAAACAGAGTCTTTCCAGGTTAGTTCTATAGCCATTTCCATCGTCCTTAATCCATATTAGTCAGATTTTTTTTTGAAGTCGTGTTCTTAATCAGAGTAACTTTGCCGATTTAATTCTTTAGACGTTTCTACCATCTTGAATCGGATCAATCTTAACTTCAATTTATTCAGTATTGTAGTTTTAAAGCACCAACAGAAAAAGTAAACAACAGAGTTTGGATGGTGTTGTCAAAGAAATTTGTAGTTAAAATATCGAAGAATGACGAGCAGATGAGATATCTCTCTCTCTTCATTTTGATTCATGTTTTGATTTTTTCCAATTCTAGAATGCTTCGGAAAGTTTGTGTGGATGGTCAAGGCGAAAGAAGAAGTTGTAGCATGAACGATGCATCATCTGTCCCTGGAGATCGTTGAGGCTGGGAAGAAGGAGATTTACGAAGCAAAACTGTGGGTGAAGCCATGGTTGAAATTCAAGGAGTTGCAGGAACTCAAGCGTACTGTTGATGTGCCCTTACCATTATTCCATCCAATCTTGGCTGCAAAAAAGTATGACTACAGAGTCCCGTTACATATATATATGTATGCAACACAGATCAATGTTAAGACTGACCTCGATCATGAAAATTTGGTTTTGTGGATCAGATGACAATGCATCTGGATGGAGGGGAGTTTCAAGAGATCATCTAGATGTGCAACACGTTTCCTGATCATGCCGACAAGACCATCCAAGAGAGATGGCGCAGTAAGTTTATAAGCAAGTTTAAGAATGTATATCTAAAGAAGATAATGATTCTGAAACACACAAAATATGTCATCGAACTCATCGTGCCATATAAGGAAATTTCACTGAGAATCACACCAGCTAGGTAAACTGCCATTGAAGAAGTTAAAGATCAAATCTGAAAGTTTCAAGCTTTACCATTGTAGAAAACTTGTGTGGTAATAATCGAAACAGAAACTTACTGCTCAAATCAATTACTAAACTGACGTTAACCTATAAAGTTTCACAGGGATGTGATCCAAAATCCCTAAAGGATCCCAAATTCAATTACTAGACTGACGTTAGTCTTCAGTGTAGTGACTAATGATTCTATTGTCAATCTGTCGAACAAAGTGACGTGGCAGATAGCAAATCCCTCAAAGACTTATCAATTTCTCAGTCACATTCTGAATAACAAAGCCAGCGTAAATTGCTAACACCAATGTTCTCCCTGCCTATTTTAAGGATGGCCGTTGTTCCTCCACCGCTGAGCTTCGGTTGCTTAGGTTTTTAGAAGCTATGAAGGTTTTTAGAAGCTATGAAGGTTTTCAGAAAATATTTAATCTATATTCTACATTTGTAGTTTGTCAGAGACAAAGGTTATGTATGCACTTGCTCAAGGTTTGAAAGTAATTGCTTGTGTTGGCGAGACTCTTGAGTTTGAAAGGTCTCTGGACACTCAATCAACAAAGGTGCATACTAATACGCGTTGTCCATGAGTCTCTCTTTAGATAATACGTTTACTACAAGACATCCCTTTAGGGCCAAAGAAATCTTATGGAAAGATTATTCTCATCATGCCACCGAGAAGATGTCGCCTCAGTGACTTGAAAACCGTTGCACTGATTATTTGCTATAATGAGTGGGGAAATTGTTACGCTTCGTTTCAACATTGAGATCAGCACCGAAAGTCATCCGGCCAATCTTTATACTTTAAGATTTTCATTATCTACAGTTTTCATTTTACTTTCCTTTGCTCTGTCACAATTTTTCCTATTAATATTACTCGATCCTTTAGAATACTTGGACGTTTAAATTATTAACGGCTTAAGCAAACTGCATGTGGATTCAGTGATTTATAAAAACAAAAATTTCTACAAAGCTGCATAATATGTTCGTTATAAAATATTAATTGCTTAAGGCTAATGGCCAAATTGTCCACTTCCAAATTGTTGTATACATGCATATAGTATAATGCCATAAATAAAAAAGCCCAAAACTTTACCAACTACAAAATTATTTAAATACCAATCTTCAAAATAAAAAAAGGCCAAAATAGCCCCAATCCAAGTTTCTATTACAAAAATAGCCCCCAAGACCCATTATCCCAAAAATGGGTTTCATTAATGTGCTCATTTACCATTATATCCTTCTCTTCTTTTGTCTAATTAATTATTAAAAAAAAAAAAATTGAAATCAGTCGACGGCATCTCCGACGACGACGGCATCTCGTCATCTCCGATGGCATCTCGTCATCTCCGACGACGGTTTATCATCTCGTCTTCTCCGACGACGCTTATCATCTCGTCTTCTCCGACGACGGCGTCGTTCATCGTATCAGAAGTATGTGGTATATTTATTTTCAATTTTCAGTTTGATGAATTGATGCTATGATCCATTTTGATGGATTTTATGATTTTGGTTTAAAGTTATTTGGTAACGATGATGAGATTTGCTTTTGACAATTTTTGTTCGTTTGTGTTGGTGTTTTTGAGATTTACATTGAAATCGAGATACAAATTCAACTTTATCATTGATACATTGACATTATCAAATTTTTAATCATATTGTTTGTGTTTTTGAGATTTGGTTTTCACATTTTGTTTGTTTGTGTTTTTGTTCTTGGGATTTGCTTCTGAAGTATATTTGGTAGGCTGGTAAATTTGTTTATAACATTGTTAATCTCTACCTTGTGTTTTGAGTATTGGTCTTGTGCTTGTGGTTGTGAAACTTTGTAGTACTTTAAAAATTTTAGGAAGGATTTATGTAGTTTCAGGATGAGTTTCTAGAAAAGCAAATTCGATGTTAAAACTCATGATGGATGATTTTGAAACTTTGTAGTGTTTTTAAAATTTCTGGAACGCTTTCCAGAATATTTGATAATACCATTCTTACGCCTGTTGATATCTTTTTGGTATTCTCGTGATCTTCCTTATTACATTGTTAGTCTTTTACTTGTGTTCTGATGAGATGATTGTGAAACTTTGTAGTGTTTTTAAATTTTCAGGAAAGCTTGCCATTATATTTGATGATAACAAATTTGAATCTTTTTTTGCTTTTGTGTCTTGTTGTTTTGCTTATG